CAGCATAATAGCTACACATGAATCCCTGGAATTTTCACTCAAACAAAAACTACCAGAGAAGTATTGCCAGGTTATTTTATTTTCAGAAAGATTTTCACAATGATTATTTTTCTATGGAAATCTTAGGACTTTCAATAAAAAGAAGGCCGTCTGGCTTAGTAGCTTGCACAAAGAACCCTCAATAAACAGCTGTAGATGAAGGTAGATATGGTGGAGAGGAGATGATCAGAGAGTTAGAAGCCCTGGGTGTGACCCCACCTCTCCCTCTACCTAACAGCGTGACCCAGCGTGACCCACCTTTCTCGTTTTGGTTGGTTCATCCATAAAGATAGAAATCTTACTGCTACGTAAGATGTCTAGATCTTACCCAGCTTAAAAAAAAATGTCTTTGGTTTCAGATATCACTCCTAAGGAAATAGCAAATCACACATAAATCTTTCATTCTAGGCTCATTTCCTTTAAATAACATCAGATCCATAAATAGCCATGCTTTCTGAAAAACAAAAATGCCTCTCTCCCCTTTTTATTTTTAAGTAAAGGAACAGGTTTATCAAGAAAGTTTTCATTTAGCCTTCCTCAACTTCCAGAATTTAAAATGGGATGATATAAGAAGGGACTTTGGTTTCCCTGTTGTTGTTCTTTAATCACACTTGTTTTCAGTTAAAATTTTAGAAAACTATGAAATAATGAAATTCCTTTTGTAACTAACCTGCCAAGATATACATTATCCTTGTACATAAGGAAGTCTGGAAAAGCATTTTTTGGTTGAATTTTGACCAGAAATCACAGAAAATGTTTTAAATATACGGTTTCTATTCATTACACATAACATATTGATACTTAGATAAAAAAAATAAGTATTATCAGAAAATACATATTGTGCTTGCATCGTGGTTTTACCCCACATATCACTTCTCTTCCCTATAAATCATACTCTCTATTTCATTTCACGTTACTTTTATCTTCTGGTATCTTGGGGTAAAATGTTTAAAATCTGAAGTAACAGACCAGTATGGAGATTCAGATATCTGTGGTAAGTATATCTAAATAACTATATTTATTTTATTTTCATCTGTTAAGCTACTTCAGATATCTAGTGGCGTGAAATCAAACGATATCCACATGACTCCTAGCTAGGTGTCTGCAATTTCTTATTTGCACATTTGGTTCTCAAGCCAAATTACCATTCTTAAATATCATGTAGAGGAAATTACACTCAAAAGGGCTGAAGGTATCAAAAGTCAAAATGTGCAAATAATTTGCAAAAAAAAAGCAAGTGATTTCTCTTCATTTTTAGGAATTTCTCACTTCTAACTATTTTCAGTGCAGTCCTCTTGGATCAGCCACAGTATGTCTTGATTACTTTAAAAATTTCATATGGTAAATAAGCATAGATGATAAAAGATGAAACTCTGAAAGCATTTAGTTCAGAAGCAGGAGCAGCAGAGATTATCCAAATGTACAAACCCCCAATTTTTATAAACAAGCAAAAAAACCACAAAAAAAAAAAAAAAAAAACCCAAGCAGAAAGGATAGAGAAGAAATTATTGTACAGCCCTTCCAAAATTCAGAATATTCAAGATAATTAAATGTAGTTTGATAAACTGCCAGAGAACAATCCACATGCACTTTTCTGGACTTTCCAGGTTTACTATTATTATCTCTTATATCAGGCATGCAGGAGAATATACACTCTATCTTCAGCTGCACAGAAATGAATGTTCAGTATATTCATTCATTGGCTTATTAATGAGCACATCGAAGAATAGGTACAAAGCCACCTACCATTGTCACTGTCTCCTTCAGATGGAACACTGTAGCTAGAGTTGTCCCATGTTTGTGCCTGTGTAAGTTTGTTGAAGGAGATAGGAGGAAGAGTGAGGGCTGGGTCTGCAGGAGAGCGAGAGAGCCAGTCCACGTACAGTTGCACAAGGACCAGGAAAAACCAAAGGGGCAGCAGCATTTCACAAATGGCATACGGATTGTATGGAAATGAAGCGAATTTCATATTATGGAATTTAATTTCAAATGTACAATATAGGAGAAGAATGAAAGATGGCGCATGGAATAAAAAGAATGATAAAAAACTGAGTGTTAGTACTTATCAATCATATACTTGGCATGCAGTTAATACCATTAATCGTTAACAGTTCGCAAGCCCACAGACTTAGAGTACTAATGAATCATGTCAGTGGAAAGAAGGAGTACCCATAGATTATGCAGATAAAAAGCAAAAGACCTACCAGATACCTTTTCCAAAGACCTAAATAACTAACAATCTTAGCAAATATGATTCACACAAAATATTTGTTTACATAGAAGAAGCTTAATATGTATAAATATGTCAATTATTTAGAAATAAATCTATTATAGAATCAGTGTTTGCCACTGGTGGATTTTTATCCCAAGGTAATGTAAAATTTCTCTTTAAAGACATCTGTAAGTCTGCTGGCATGCTTTATTGATAAGTGAATCTAGCCAACTCCGCTCAACCCTTGACACACAGCTATACCTCTCAATACTGTCTTAGATACTGATCAGTATAGAACCTATTTCGGACACTAGTAGAGTCTCTTTAACAACAAACCTAATTAACTGATAGATGTCAGTCAATTCAAAGCACTTCTAAATTGGTCATTTATGAAATAACACCTCTTTTTTTCTTTTGGACTAACTATCCATATAGTAATTTTTGATGTTTAGGAAATATCTATACAATTTTTATTCAATCATAAGGCAGGGCCAATAAAATACAGGGACATGATTCTAGTAATGCATATTTGGATATATACAGTTGTCTTTCTTGGGAGGAAAACACAGAAAATAAAATTTCTTTTGAAGAAAACTATTAGTCTACTTTAAGAATCTAAGTATCTATTCCCACTTGCTAATTTGAGCAGTCTGTTTTTATTTTTAACACAGAAATCACATGAATTCGTATACTTAACTTGAAAATAAAAATTAAATCACTTTTTAAAGTTCCAAAGCTACTCAATCAAAAATAATTTCTCTCTTTTGTAGTCATGTGATCTTCAATTAAGATTAGTAGGTATATTATTTTCTAGAAAATGCGAAAAATACATACTGTAATATTTTAAAGTCACTAAATAAAAATTTTTAAATTCCCAATACATGATGCTAGTTTCATAACGTTCCAACATGCCAACTGATGTTCCTGAAGAAAAATCAGCATTACTTACGACAACCAAACTCCACAAAGCTTTCTACAATTGGCACAATTTCCACACTGGTTAGTCAGCATTATAGAAAGGTTGGAAGCTAGGAAAGGAAATTATCTTTGTTTCCTGCTATTCAGAATAAATACTTCATTTATTTTTCACCACCACAAACAGTCTGAAATGGTTCAACAGTGTGGGTATGAGGTTGATAAGTTGAGTTTGGACCCCATAAAAAGAATTGAAAAAGTCACAGAGACAATTTTGCAACTAAATTGCAAAGATGCACGTTCAAAAGAATATTATTCTTTGGAGATTCATTCAACTTTTGATTTGCTCAATTATAAGTTTTGTTTTGTTTTGTTTTGTTTGCAGTACGCGGTCCTCTCACTGTTGTGGCCTCTCCCGTTGTGGAGCACAGGATCCGGACGCGCAGGCTCAGCGGCCATGGCTCACGGGCCCAGCCACTCCGCGGCATGTGGGGTCTTCCCGGACCAGGGCACGAACCCGTGTCCCCTGCATCGGCAGGTGGACCCTCAACCACTGCGCCACCAGGGAAGCCCCTAAGATATTTTTAAATTGTGTAAAAGTGCTTGTAAGGGATAGGAGAAAGTCTGTAGCCCAACATGAAGTCCTCAGTGTATAGAGAACATTCCTGGCAGATCATCACTCAGGGCATGGAAGCCTCCATTCCTCCCAGCACAATCTGAGACCTTGGAAATGGAGGCCCAACCCAGATCTGGCTGCATACTCTCAGCTCCATGAATGGTGAGGCCAGCCATTTGAGTCCTATTTCATGCACAATTTGGTTCTCCATAAAACACCTCCTAACCCTTGCCACACCCAAGCATCTTCTCAAATGGCTTTGTCTTACAGCCCATTCAAAATGCCAGGAAGCCATTACACCTGGCCACATGTTACCCATCAATCAACTTTCTCCAAAAACGAAGAAACATTCCTTTATAAAAGAACCATCTTCGTTTTTTTCTATGGGTACCCTTTTTCAAAATATACACATGTATAACTTCAATTGTTGCCAAATGCTTTATTAAAAAACCCAAGAACATATGAGTTCTTTACTACCTTTTGCTTAAAGCGTCCGAGTCCTTTCTTAGCACTTACTGAAAAGCATTAGCAGTGAGTGTATGCAAAAGACTTAAGAATCAAAAATATTAAAACAAAGAAGCACCTAAAAGAAGGTATATAGTGCTAGAACTTTAAGTATGTGGAGAAATCAGAAGAACCAAATTTTTCTATACATAGTCCTTTTTAAAATCAGCAGTTGTTTTGCACATTGCTATAATTTACATTTGTGAATATACTAAGTTAAAATAAAGTAGGTAATATAAGCAGAAATGCTCTTAAAAATGTCTCCTGACCACTCATGTGAGTCTTGGAAAGACCACCCTGTCACATGAGTAAATATACAGTCCTTACGAAGGCCCAGAGAGCAAATGAGGGGTGTCTCAGAAAAGAGTCACCAGCCTTAATTTAGCAAGGTACCAGGAACCACCGGGGCAAAGGGGTGGCTATTTTATCAACAGAATATTTCTTTCCCACTTACACGTCCCAACATCTTTTTCTCTTTGCTCTGATTCAAAAGAAGGTAAGATAATCTATTACTGATAACATGGCGTTAACAGGTGATTCATGACCACAAGGCTCGAAAATATGGCCTCCCCACGCTGTAGTGGGGTTCTGATGCCAGGACTCAAACTCACCAGAGTTGACAAGGCTGCTCACACTATAATGTATGCATTTAAAAGGCTAAAGAGAAACTCCTGAGCTGTTCACACGTGCAAGAGCGCTAAGGTTTCAATTTACCTGATCGAGGCTTCAGGCCAAACAGAGCTGTGCTGGTGTTGGTAGGAGAGATGGCAGGGGAGTTCTCTCTCATCTGTGGTGTTAGAAGAAAAGGACATTTTTTAAAGAACTGGAGCAGAACTATGCATGCCTCTCCGTGATCAAGGATTATAATAAAACCATGACCTCCTTGCATTTGCTGCCGTGAGGAAGTCCTGACTAAAAAATGATAATTGATGCATCTTCACATTGCTAATGTTTTAAGTGGTAGAATCGACAGAATGTTGTTTTGGGGGAGATCCGTCCAATTGTTTATGTGCTCATTATAAAAACAGTTCATAGTTGTGTGATACTGGCAATCCCTTTCTGCTCACGAATAGATGTGTGCATTCAGGTGCAGGCACTGACACACACAAGCACTCACTCACATCCATCTCACAGAGGGCACATCTGATAAAGAATTTCATAACACAACGAGATGAGAAAACAGGTAACACTGAACAGGTGTCTCAGCTATAGGGAAACCACACACTGAATCACTTATAGATAACGAGACATTCTAAATGTTGCCTACATGAGCTATTTTCACTTCGTTTTCTATAAAAACATTCCCACGTTTGGTCTTCAAAATATGTCTTATAAAATGAGTCTTTAATTATGGATAGGGCCGGATCGGGCTATGAGAGCTAATGAGAGATTCCCTCAGAGATTCTGCAATACAATTAACTCATGAATCATCATGGTCTCAGGTTATAGATTTCTGTACAAGATATTCCAATTCAGTCTTCACAAAATACCTCAGCTTTCATTAATCTTCAGGAAACTTACCTCATTGGGAGAATACTCGCTCCCATTACTCTGTAACGTTAGATCATTTTGCACCTTAAGGAAGAAAAAAAATGCATGGTACGTTCCATCAGACTATAACATTAGTGAGGCAAGAACTGAGTTTTTCTAACTTCCATCATATCCCTGGCACATAGGGACACAATGAATAATACGCTGAATTAATTAATTAGTAGTTAAGTAGGCCATACTTACATTTTCTAAAAACATGCAACTATATCCACAGAAAAATACCACTAAACTATCACACAAACTAAGAAAAGGGATTTCCCAGAGCAAAGCGCTCAGTCCAAAGTACCTGTGAACTTCAGCTTTCCTTGCTAGGTTACCAAGCAACCTGCAGGCTCCCACCTGCTGGGAGCATAAGGGTTTTTATAAATGGTCCAAGGCAGTAGTTCCCAAATACACAGAATCTCATTGGCAGCTTTTTAATAAATATACATACCCGGACCTAGGAAAATCCTGCGCTGTCAATTCAACATCACTTTGCTTTGTCAACCAATGGGGAACTCGATAGTTTATTTTACCCAGATCTGCCTTCTTTATAAGGTAATCAAGAACCCCACTGAGGGAATTCCCTGGCAGTCCAGTGGTTAGGACTCCACGATTTCACTACTGAAGGCCCAGGTTTGATCCCTGGTCATGGAACTAAGATCCCATAAGCCGGGTGGCACAGCCAAAAAAAAAAGCGTTGATCCAAAAAAATTTGGTGATAGCTAATATAAACATCTTCATATATGTCACCAAACTAGCATAAATTTCAGATGTCTGTTCCTATTCCTATTGTTGAGGAGTGCTATTAAAAAATATTCCCAACTGTGACAAATCCAAGGGAATAAAATATTTTTAGAATAAACAGTCATTCATTTCCCTACTCAATTAAATGTCTGAATTGCTAACAAGTAACTTGCAGGTTTGATTTTCTCTGTAAGAAACTCATTCCTCTAATTTTCCCTGTTGTCCCCACAGCATCCTTCCCTATTGGATATTACTTATGTATGAGAGTATAATTTGCAATTCTTCCTGAATGGTTTCCATTGCTACCCAAACTTGATGTGGACAGTCATGTAAAGTGTGTTAAAAGTCAGATAATGTGATGTGCTGACAATTACAAACCATTTCATAATCTTGGCCTCACTTATCTAACTGGGCACCGGCCTATCCCTCAGTGTTTCTGTCCGGTTCATGCTCTGTGCTGATTTGACCATGGCCAAGCTGCCTCCTGGGACCAATCCAAATCCTAGCTGCCCCCCAAATCCAGGTTTATTTCCCTTTCCTTAACCTCTTATCCTTTTCCCAGTCTCACAGAGCACCTAAAACACTCAGGATTATGAACTCTCTCATATTCTTCTCTAAGTTTTCTCAATGTCTAAGCCTTCTTTCCTCCACAATTTTTAAAATGCCTTAAAAGTGAGGGCAGGGCTTCCCTGGTGGCGCAGTGGTAGAGAGTCCGCCTGCCAATGCAGGGGACACGGGTTCGTGCCCCGGTCCGGGAAGATCCCACATGCCGCGGAGCGGCTGGGCCCGTGAGCCATGGCCGCTGAGCCTGCGAGTCCAGAGTCTGTGCTCCGCAATGGGAGAGGCCACAATAGTGAGAGGCCCGCGTACCGCAAAAAAAAAAAGTGAGGGCAACTTCATCTTCTTCCTATCCCAGTCTTCGACACCCCAAACAAGGCTGAATCCAGCACAGGGACTCAACAAATACTGGCTAACTGATTCAAGACTATTGTAAAGATACTGCTTTCTTCCTGAATGAGATGGAAGAGAGAATATAAAAATCACCAAACCATAAAGGAGGGTCCCACTTAAGTCCCACATAACTATCAACACTGGCCTTGCTAATCTACCACTTTCTTTTCCTCCTCCTTGTGACTTCTTTTTTCCACCAGAGCCAGCAATTCCTCTCCCTTTTTAAAATCATGTGGACAGAGAATTGCCCAAAGAAGGAAGACAATGTGTAAGAATTCCTTACACTGAACATGACTCCTCATTCAACCAAAAAGGGGGAAAAAGACTATTAACATTGTAAATCAGACACGGAATGGAGATCTTTTTTCCTAGAGGCTTGGTGTCTGCCTGATACTCCTGAAATCATGCACACAGGAGGGCATCTATTCTACTGGAATCAAAAGTGGGTCTGCAGCAGGATTCTAACATGGTCTCCAAGTACCTCTTCACTGACTGATTGTTAATTGCAAGGGGAAAATAGAATACTTAGATGCTGGAGAAATCAGATTCTACCTCGATTGGGTAATCAAATTAATGTCACCAGTGAAGCACAGATGTACACAATGTGCCTCCAAATGTGGTACCTGAGAAGGACACCGCACCACCTGTGCAGCATCCCAAACGAGAATGCAGGGACTCAATCTAATCATGAAGAAATATGAGGGACTTCTGTCCCACAAAATAAGGGGCAGTTCATTTTACAAAAAGAGGAGCACTATATTCTTCAAAATTTTAAGGTCATAAAAAATCAAAGAAAGGTTATGGAAATGTTCCAGAGTAAAGCAAACTATATAGTTACCTGACAATTATTGCCTCTAGACTGGATCCTACAATGAAGGGGAAAAAGAGCTATGAAAGACATCATTAGTTCAACCTAAATATTTGGAATATGGATAGCAGATTAGATGAAAATATTTTATCACTGTAAATTTATGAAGGTGATAACTGAAATGGGGTTATATAGGATAAAATCCCTATTCTTAGGAAAGGTACACCGAAATGTTTAGAGAAAAGGACTATGATATACAAAACTTTTCCTCCAATTTTCAGAAAAAGAACTATGTATGTGGAGGAAGAGAGAGATACTGCAAATGTGTTAAAATGTTAATCACAGGTAAATCGGGGTGCAAGGTTATAATTTTTTACAACCTTTTGTAGACTCTTGTAATTTTTAATAAACCTTTTATAAATTTTAAATTATTTCCAAATAAAAAGCTAAAGCTAAAAGTGAGTGTGTACAGAATCAAAAGCAGCATGTCTCTAAAGAAGAGCCTGTGGAAATGGGCCCAGGGCAGCCTTCACCTAAGAGGCTTCCTGATGTCCCACTACTGGGTCATTCAGTGATGCCTCCACCTGGGGAAGAGGGAGTGCAATGATTCTAAGGACCACACTGATGACAATCACAGAGCAGAGTAACAGTAACAGCTAAGTTAGGTGTCCTGGGTTACAAGATTGATCCCAATTTATAGAAAATAAAGGTGAAGTTAGAAAGGTAGCCCACAGGAGCTCACAGTTAGCAAGTCTTTGAGATAGGGCCGAAACTTAACATAATTCCAAGTCACTACACTCAAATATGAAGCCATGCTCTCTGGGAACATGGGTTTTTCGATTACAGTTCTTTTCCTCATTTAACACAGACACCTAGCTAGTTAAGAGTGTGAAACTGCTTTACTATGGTACGTGTCCAGACACCTCAGGGGACATAAATTGGTTGTACTGAAATCAGCCATCCTAAGCCTATTCAGTAAGAAGGGATAAAACAGGTCGTATGTAAACAATGTTTTACTCCCATGTCGCTGACTCAAGCCTATCTCTCTAGGCCTGCTTCTTCAGGACCTTCCAGGCTCATCTCTAGTTAATTATGTCAAATCTGCTTTCTTTACAGACACCCAAATTTCACCGTCTATAGCTGCCTGACCTACCTTTACTCTGTCCCCAAACCCCACCCTCCACTAGTTTCTCTTTGCTAGAGTCACTTAATCCTCCTAGGCATATCCCAAATCACTCATTCTTGTCTCTCAAGTCTTTCCTAGTTTATGTTCATCTGTGGCTGGTAAAACTTGCATCAGATGGTCCTACCTCCAGTTTTTGTTTTTTTTGGTTGTTTTTTTTTTTGCGGTACGCGGGCCTCTCACTGTTGTGGCCTCTCCCGTTGTGGAGCACAGGCTCCGCGGCCATGGCTCACGGGCCCAGCCGCTCCACGGCATGTGGGATCTTCCCAGACCGAGGCACGAACCCACGTCCCCTGCATCGGCAGGCGGACTCTCAACCACTGCGCCACCAGGGAAGCCCCTACCTCCAGTTTTTGACAGAGGAGGTTTCCGTGTGGGTCTTAGCTGCCAGGACCGACCACCTGACATAAAAAATTTAGAGAACTTAATGGAAACAGCCAACTCTCATCTTTAAGGGGAGGTGAGTATAACAGATAAGCAGGAAGACTAAAGAAGCCAGAACTATAAAAAAACTGAAAACTAGACCTTGGACAAATTTGAGTATTGATCTCACTAATGAATGTTCCACCCGATAAATCTCGATAAAATATGGTGGCCACTCTTCTGTAGCAGAGTATTGCATCAGAGCTCTGGTGCATCCAAGAGCAGCCTTACCTCACATTCTGGAGACGTCTCCAACTGTATTTGACCACTGTAGGAATCAGAGGGAAAAAATGATACAAAGTGGAATTTAAAGCAAAAATATTTCAATGTAAAAAGGTAAAATATATTGTTATAAAAAGGTCAACATACTTTAGTGCAGAGTCTTGTAATTCTAAGTCTTCTGCCGAGTCCACAGGGTAAAAGTTGACAACACTTCTCTCTGCAATATCTGTGCTTAATCTAAAGAGTAAGGGAAAAAAAGTGCTACCAAATGTATTAAACTTCTAATAAATTCTACTGCTTTTAGTCATATATTTAAAAGTTATGTCTATTGTTAGGATTTAATAATGAAAGGTTTATGGTAGAAATTTCAAACTACATGGTATTTCCCCGCCATGTGCCAAATACAATATAATGTAGTTTTAATATAATTTTCCATATGCTTTGGTATCAAAATCCAACTTGTTTGAGATATACTAGTAATTTCTGATAAGGTCATAATATTCATAGGTAGCACACACTAAATTTTATTCTAGAAATTTATTAGTTTACAGAAGCAAGTAAAGTTGTTCTATACTATACTATACATGTACTATATTATGGTATATGTACCAAGGGCATTTGTTTTAACAGGAAGATCTCTTTGATAGACCCTAATACTCTCAATTTAAAAAATAAGAATTTATAAGCAATTTGATATGCATTTTAAATTCTGAAATTGTCTTACAGTTTCTGAATTTCTGTGATTTTAAGAGCTGAACTTTTTTTTTAAGATCTATAAAATAAGGAATTTCTATAAGTCATATACAAGTTATAAAGCTATTTGAAAAAGTAGGGATAAGTTCATACTATACATGCCCATTGAAAATGGTATCAAACCAACAGTCAGAAATCCTTAAGAAACCAACACAAAAGCAAAACAGGATAGCAATATTCAACTCAATTTTTTGATGTTAAGGTTATGTGAAAGATAAAGCTCTAAAATTTAATCCTGTAATCAACGGCTTGACTAAAACAAAGAAATCTGGATCTAGGAAATACGAGATAAAGGAAAACCTTAATGTGTACATAAACTTTTTATTACTATTATTCAAAAGCAACGAGAAATAAGTGACCTCTTGAAGTGCCCTCTCTCTTTATTAGGACAAAAACGGGACTCTTTCTTTATCCCTATTACACTGGCGCAAAGACACGTTATTATCAAGTTAGGATTGTCGTATTATAATATCTATTTCAGGATGTACAACAAAGATCTGCAGCCGCCAAATTAGTGGATTATTGTAGGGAGGAAATTAAATCCCCATAAAGTTTTACAATGTAAATAATTTAAAAATAGCAATCCATAAAGACGCAAACCAACTATCCCCTGGAAGGTTACTCAAGGCTGTTTTCTTCCACGCCCACCATGCTGACTTGCTTGACATCCTTGGCGACCCTTTGCCTCAGACCTTTCCAAGCTGGAGAGTAATCTGCAGATCCTCAGTTCATCCCACTTCTCAGGAAAGATGATGCAACTGAGGTCCAGAGCGGGGAGCCACACCTTCCAGGTCACCCCGATCTTACACTTGGTTCCAGTCCCACATTCCCTGGCCGCTGCTATTTCCATCAAACAAGGCTGTTCTTTTTCAATTTGGGGCTCACATCGTAATCTCGAATGCGTAAGAAAAGTTTATTGGAAAAGTAATACGAAATGTAGAAATATGAAAACAATATAAAGTTTGAGCCCAAGTGGGGCCTTCTCTCTGTCACACCGTGTCTTCTAGGCTCTGTCCTGGACTCACATTCCCTTCCCGTTGATATGCTTGCCCTTGGGAACCTCATCCCCTTACACCACTCCTGTTATGGCAGCGCCTTATGAAAGTAACTTTTAAACTTAAGTCTCGAAGCCCCAGACCTAAACGTCTAGCCACTGAATGGACGTTGTCACATTGCCACCTTGGATTTTACTCAGCAGGTCCTAAACTGACCCCAACATCCTCCTCCTAAAAACCTGCCGTTCCTCTTGGTTCCCCATCTCAGATGGAGACATGAGGGGTCAGGTCTAAAACACCTTGGACTGTTTGTTCCCTCCCACCCTCACCATCCACTTCAAACAATCACCAGAGAACTACCACCGTACCTACCACTGTGTATCTACAATATTTAAAAGTATAAAGAAAAGTAGTAATTTAGAAGTACCCACAGAAAAAAATCCATCTTAATATATTTCTTTCTAGTTTTAATTTTTCCTAAGCTTCTTATACAACTGGGACCTAATTCTATTTATATCGTTGGGATCAAACTTTATGCATTTTTTATTCTATTTATATCATTGTGATCAAACTTTATGCACTTTTTATACTTTTTAAAGTTAACATTATATAATGAGCAATCTAAGATATAGTGGAAAGTTTAAAAAACATTTTATTGGTCACATATTACATCTTATTAATGACCAAAATTTAAGAATCTCCAAATTGTTAGATCATTTCCTTTTTTGCAAATATTTTGCTATTAAAAGTGCCTCTCCCCTCACAATTGCTGTTCATATCTCCTTGTCCCTTAGGATATTTTTTAGAATTAATTCAAAAGTTTTATATCTATTTTTAGACTATGGCTACAAACTACAAGGATGTCTTCTGGAGTGGTTCTGCCTGTTTACCTTTCCCCCAGCAGTTCATTTATTATTTCAAATCTTCACAACATTAAAAGATAAGTATTTTTAGCCCATCTTATAGATGAGAAAACTGGGGTACAGAGAAGTTATGTAATTTACCCAGATTAACTGGTATTAGAGCTGGGTTTGCAACCAGTATCTGGTTGATTAAGATATGTTCTTCTCCAGCCATGCTATTTCCCCATTCCTTATAATTTCTCTCTCTCTCTCTCTCTCTCTCTCTCTCTCTCTCTCTCTCTCTCTTAGGATGTGAAACTCAGCTCTTTAAGGAACTTACTTGGTTAGGTGCTTGCTAATAAGCCAGGCCCTGAGCCAAACATTAGGGAGAATTAACCACATGAATAATCATATTTTTAAACCATAATTACCTCCCCCTACATATAAAATAAAGTCTCAGCTCCTCCACACAGCATTCGAAGTCATGCCTGCATCACACCCAAAGGTCTCTCTGGTGAGTCTCAGTCCTGGCTTCACATCAGGAGCACTGGTAGAACTTTTAAAATATAAAAATGGCCAGACCCCCAGCGCCACAGGTGGTGTCGGGCAGAGTGTCTGTGCTCTGGAACTTCTACAAATGATACTGAAGCAGAGCCAGCACGGAGATCACCTTTTCTGCCTGAGATTTTCCAAGCTTGCTCCATTCTTTCTGACCTCTGTACCTTTGAATAAGCTTTTAATTCAATCCAGAATTTGCTTTCTCCTTGAAAATGCCAGCTATTAAAGGCCCAGGTAAAATACTCCAACCTTCAGGAAGGTCAGCCAAGCCACCCTCCCTTCTCCATCTGGGGTCAGGATCCCCTTCATCTCAAGCACTTAAATCAATGACATGTATAAATCACTACTCAAAGCAATGTCTATTACTATAGTTTATGTTCCTAGAAGGAAGAGCTGTGTCTTGTTCATCTTTACATCCCCCAAGGTGCACACTGTAGATCTTTCCATGCTCTAAGCACTCAGCTAATGTCTGCAGAATGGAAGTGCTTTTCAAATCAATTGCTAAAGATTTCCAGCCATACTCAACCCGAGCTTAAACTATTCTTTTAGAGTCAGACAACAGTGCTGGTGGACTCTCACTGGCACTCTGGGACTCACTCACCACCCTGTTCATAAATTCCCAGAATGTGGTGTGATTTCCACGCTCACCGTATTATCAATATAAGACCACATTATCTTCACATTGAAATTCCCAGGATCCCTGAATAGTTTACCAGGGATAAGCTTCGGATCTATTTCTCTATTAGTACGGTAGTTATTATCTGATACCAGGTATACTGCTTTACTGAAAAATATTTTGTCTGTAGGAATTCCGTTATCCTCAGCTAAGAAACCAAAAAATACACCTATATATAAAGTGCTTATTATTGATAAAGACTAATTCAATTAAAAAATTATCTTGTCACCCAAATCTTTAGAAATACATGATTTAGTTAACATATATTTGGCACCATCAGAAATAAATATGGTAGTACTTGATAAACCAAGTCTTTGGAAACTCTCTTATATTTCTCTATTCCAGGGGTTTAAACTTCAAGCTATATAAAGTATGCAATTTGACTGTATTTCTGTTGTCTAAGAATTATACAAAAATTGCCCTATGAATTCCACGAAGGGTGAATGAATTTCATGAAGGGATGGAAAAGCGGGGAACTGCTCTCAGTCCCTCCAGAAGTTTGACTCTTTTACTTACGATCTCAGGAAAACAGGCAGTTAAAATGACTTTTCTTCGTTACTGGTTAGTGCTAAGCCCATACTGTGTGTGTAAATATCTTAAAAACTGAGATAATGTACTCAATAAATTAGTGTACATTACTGACACCTGAAACCTGGGCCAAGGAAAGACACACATACCTGTTGGGATCTTGCAGCAAATCCACTGCTTCTCTCAGCTGTTCAATCATTGCTATATTCATGTCCTGGTCTTTGGATGAACTTATTCTGCAACATGAAACCAAGCTTTAGACTGAAAATGATCACTAGAACATGAATAGCACCTAGGTTCTTAAGAACAAACTTATAAAGATCCATCTGACACTGCAAAAATGATTTTTGACAAACTCAACATTTTAGCGAGGATGTGTCAGTACCCTGTGGGGTGGGCTGCCAGAGTGTAGCAGAAGAGCTGCTGGGTGGGAGGAGCCAGCTAGGCTGTAAGGCAGCTCACACAAAGTCTCAGTGCCCGTGGGCAGTGCTCACCTGTAAAAGCAGGGCAATGGACTGGCTGGGTAGTTCTCACGCTGTACTTTCCTGAGCCTGAGGGAGATCCACAGGGGTGCTCAGCTACGGCGGGTCCGCACTACTTCCAATTCCAGTTCAACCAGCCTGGCTCAGTTTTATTGCTTTCATACAATATGGGACTTCAGTGTGGGACTCTGGTTCCCAGTCCAGGCTCGTTAAGCATCAAAATCACCTAATGGTGCTTAAAAAAATATGCCGGGTCTGATACTCCTAAGTAGATCTGTCTGGGGCGTGGACATTTTCTTAACCAGATGATACTTATTTTACAGGCAGGGTTGGGAACAATAGATATAAGCTTGAGAATGGGGTTTCCAAAGCTTTACACAGTTTAAAAACTCTTTCCCTATAAAATCCTTTTCGCTATAATTCTATGATCAAGCTAGTTCTCCTCGGCATCACAGAAATATATCCAACAAATAGCTGGTTATACTGGACAGTGATTTGAAAGGAAGTCTGCAATATTTTTAAAAGGCAAGAGAGATCTGATCACGGTTCCTGCTTTCCATTGCAGAATATAAGCCAATGTCTTTCTGTAAGTGGAGAAACTTTTTAACAATGGAGTAAATTCTCACTAAGGGGAAAACCCTCATGAGGTTTGATGGACGGTCCAGGCCTATATGCCAGATCATGGAAAACAAAATCCTGGGAATCAAAAACCTACCCTCTGCCATATGGTCCAAACTCAATCCCCCTGAGTGGCAAACCAGTAAAGTGGTTTACTGTCTGTTAGATGGATCACTCATGCCCTCCTGTGTAAATCTTTATATGCGATAGAGTAGAAGTGCTGTCCATCTGGTACGAGATCCCAGCCCTCTGTAACCCTGGGGCAAGATAACCAATCTCCCTGTGCCTCAGTTTTGTCATCGGTGAAGTGAGGGATAACAATAGGACTTACAGGATTGTTGTAAAGAGGAAATGAGTTACTACCTGTGAAGTATTTTAGGACACTGCCTGGCACGTGGTATTTAATAACTGTTAGCTATTACAATTATTAGACTTAAGACCAAGACATTGAGGTCTATGGTTTTCTCAGATCTTGAACTTGAAGACTCTGGGGAAAGAAGTGGGAACAGGACCACGTATCACTTTAGGTCCAGTTGTCGGTTTGTTCAGAGAAAGGAAAGTAAGCTAGAATCTCTAGTCTAGAAATTCTATCTAATTTCCTGAATCACATTCTACCCACAGCCTCAAATCAGATAAAACTCAAGGCCAAGGAACAGGTATGACCTGGCACAGTACGGCCCCAATCCTGTGACAGTAAGCATCAGGCAGAGGAAACCTTGCAACTTCTGAGCAATATCATTGAGGAAGGTATCAGCTTGCTCAAAGAAAAGTGGACCAAAATTCTATCAGGACAAGGCTGCCATTCTGCTTGCAACATGAACTTTACAGGATGGTGGCTCATCACCAGCCTTCGGTACTCACATCCCCTCGGATGGCCAGTGTGCGTCCTCTTCTATCCGTAACAGTTCTTCACAGGTCTCAGTCCTTTCCTGTGGACAGAACACATGGGTCTTCTGAGAGCCACTGGCTGTAACAGTCAACAGTCTAAACCTGCCCTCATCCATATTCACAACAGCCAAAAGGTGGAAACAACCCAAGTGTCCATGAATGGATGAATGGAGAAAATGTGGTCTATACATACAATGGAATATCATTCAGCCTTAAAAAGGACGGAAATTCTAACACATGTTACAACATAGATGAACCCTGAGGACATCATGCTAAGTGAAATAAGTGAGTCACAGGAAGAAAAATACTGTATGATTCCACTTACATGAGGTTCCTAGAATAGTCAAATTCATAAAGACAGAAAGAAGAATGGTAGTTGCCAGAGGAGAGGGGGGAGGGGATTGGGAAGTTATGGTTTAATGGCAAAGAGTGTCCGTTTTACAAGATGAAAGAGTTTTGGAGATGGAGTACACAACATTGTTTTGGTTACACAACAATGTGAATGTACCACTGAACTGTATACTTAAAAAATGGCTAAGATGGTAAGTTTTTATGTATTTTGCCACAATTAAAAATAAAATAAAATTTTAAAAAAGAAGAAAAGAAAACCTGGCCGAGGACTACAATACCTGTTAACTTAGAAAAGAGTCAGAAATGCAAGGCTTAACTCCATTCATGACTGCCCTCTTAGCACCTCCTGATGTTGACAGATTCCTCAGCTGGGCTTGTCAGTCACATGAGAATGTGCATTCTGATGTTGGTGAGAGAAGCTGTGTGTGTGTGTGTGTGTGTGTGTGTGTGCGTGCGTGCACCCGTGCACATGCACACTGTTAACAAAAAAGGAAGTATTAACGACAGAAAAATGCCTCAAATTGCATCTAATAGTTTTCACATGTACAACGTGCAGATTTCACTGAAATGCACCCCCCTCTTAATATCCCAAAGAAACACTGTGGTGGGAGTATTTAGAAAGGCGTGTCCCACTGTTGGAACTTCCATGCGAGTCTTTCCATCTTGATCTCTGACACAGAGAAATGCTGCTTTAACTCAGCTGACAGCTAAAACGGAAGCCATCCCCGAAGGGGCAAACATTCCCCTAGCAAGGAAGGAACAACAGACAAAAGGACTGTTTTCTGTGTCAAAGCTCTGACACTTCATTAACGAATGCAGGCCCAGCCAATTCTCCAGATGTGTCACAGAAAATAAGTCTTTTTCTGAGGAGGTATCCAGCTGCATGATGTCAACCTCTGGCTTGAAAAACACTCAGACTTTTTCTATATAGATTATACTTTTAGTGCATTATAAAATCAATATATAAATTACTGTGCCTCCACCCAAATGCTAGTGAAATTCATGGGTGAAAATATACTACGAGAAACCACCAAGAAAACATGTTCTTATCTCTTCCTGTTGGGTTTCAACTATAGGAGCCATGGGTATTTCCTTCTAATTTTCAGTTTCATAATAAAAAGTAGCCAGTAGTAGAAAATATACTTTTTTTCAGTATGCAAAACAGAGGTATACTGGGTTTCTTTTGCTAAGTTAGATGGTGACACAGTTGATACACATTATTCATGGATTCTGTATTTATGAATTTGCCTCTTTACTAAAATCTATGTGTCACCCCAAAACCAATACTCGTGGTGCTTTTGCAGACACACGCAGAGGTGGTGAAAAACTAGAGTTCCCAACCCCAAAATGCACTTCCCAGTTGAGGCTGAACAAGGTAGCAAGCGACCTGCTTTCTTGTTTCAGCTCTCAGACTGTAAAAAAGTGTCCTTTTCAGAGCCTGTTTAGTATCACATTTTCACAGTTTTGTGCCTTTCGTTGGTGATTTTGCTGTTTAAAATGCCCCCTAGCATAGGACTGAAGTGCTGTCTTATCCTAAGCACAAGAAGGCTATGATATGTACTGTACCTTACAGAGAAAACACCTGCGTTAGGTAAGCTTCCTTCCCGCATGAGTTACGGGGCTGCTGGCCGCAAGTTCAGTGTTAATGCACTAACAGTACATATTAAATAGGGCGTCTTGAGACAGAAGTACACATAAAACCAGGTTATGTACTGACCAGTTGACAAAAATGTGTGACCAGAGGCTCACAGGAACCTAACCCTGTATCTCCCGTGGGAGCAACAGTTCAGGATTGGATAATTCAGTGTTTGAGGAAACTATCAAATAGAACTGCTGTGAATAAGGATCCACCGTAGTTACAAAAGCACAAGATGCTTACTCAGTGGAGAGAAAACAGGATTATATAAAACACAGAACTCTTGATCGTCGAGGACTGAGTAGTTCAGCACACTGGCTGGCAATAAAACACACTCTCACAGACTTTAAAAGTGATGCAAGTCAAGGGTAAAATGGGCCTGAATTGAAGCGTACAGCTTTTAATTGTAGATTTATGTTTTATTTTATTGTTAGCGTTCTTCTCCACTTGCCAACAGAAGCCTCTTGTAGGAGTGGGCACTCAGGAAACATTTGCTGTAGATTTCTACACCCCATTGGCTCCCCTAGATTCTACACCACAGGACCCACGCTGTAGAGCAGCCATTCCCATGGAGCCCTGTGCCTCCTGAAATCTCTAAATCTAGAAGAATTTGCTTTTTTGAAACAACATGTTTTATTTTACTAATCACTTTAATTGCTTTCCTTCAAGGCTTCCATCTTTACTTTAGACCCTCAGCTTAAGATAAACTCTTCATAAAAGGAAGACAGAAGCCCAATTTTCCATGTTTTGCTGACAGACTTGTCTCAGAGCTGACAGACAGGCATCAAGCCTGGGAGAGGCTTGTGAGAACCACCGGCTGGAGAGCCACAGGATGAGGACTTTACTTCGGAAAATGTCTGGCAGCAGCAGGGGCGGGATGCTGGATGCTCAGCTGGGGTAGGAGGGACTCCTGCTGTCCTAAGAATAAGCAATGATAAGGCTCCACTGAAGTCATGTCAGTGGAGGTGGAGGACAGAAAGGAGGCAGTGGGTGTGAGATGTTTTGAAACAAGAACTGATGGATTTATGATGGATTAAATATACAGAATAAAGAATTAGGTTTTCTACGGATGTATGTCATATGAGAGGTTCATTATTTTTGTCTTGAGTACACCAGAGTCTCCTACAGTGTACGATTCGGCTGTTTTCCTCCCATCTCCCTTGAAGGTGATGCCCAGAGACGTTAGTTGAGACAGAGCCCAGCCATCCTAACACCGTCCTCAGGAAATAAGAACCAGCACCTAGAGAGCCTGGGCCCGACTTTAACACAGTAACTCAGAGACCACTGTCTCTCACAAGCCACAAGGAACCTGAATTTTACCGAAAGGATTATCTTCGTGATCCTTGGGTGCCACGACCTGAACCAAAAGGACTGGCAGAAATGTACCAAGGCACCTAACTGTGTCACAAAGTGGAACCTTAACTACCAGGTTTATAAAGGGCTAGTTTTTTTCTTGTTTCTGCCGCTCCTATGACGAAGGTTTGCCTGACAATTTAATGACTTCATCTAACATTTCAACACCTCAGCGCCACTATACCTGTTTATGAATGTGTCCTCAGAGTGACCCTTCTAAAAAGGGAAGACATTCATTTCCAGATTTTAAAAGTCTCCATTTTTCTTCTTTTACTATGAATATACTCCCAAGAAGAACTTACGTACCTAGAATATGTTGAAAAGCATGTGAAACTTTGTTTTACCTTTTTTACTGGATGGTCATGGTAACTCTGATAACTTATACAATGCACTGACTACCAGAGAGCTGAGTAATTTCTGAATACAAAAGAAAATCACCCATATACACAGACAAATAGAGAGGTACGGATGAAAGGGACAAGCTCCTAATATCGGCAAATAAACACGCTGGACTTTGAGAAGATGTTATAAAGGCCCGAGGAAGGTGGTAGCAAGCTGACATTTAAGGTGATGGATTGGTAACCTTGAACATAAATTCTAAGGCGCCAAACAGAAGTAAATAAGTTAAAAAATTATTATCCTCCACTTGCCTTAATATAGTTTATAAATTCCGAATGGAGAATGTCTGCTCCGTGGGAAAACTGGTCTCTTTCTTCTCCTGAGTTCTCATTGTCACTCACAAGGGAAGGCGCTGGTTGAAATTCCTGATGAAATTCCCCTATTAGGAAAACATAGAGAAAGATAGAAAGCATGATTTCATAAACAGATGAGCAAAACATAGATGACTGTAAAATGCATCACCTAGTTTTTCAGTCTTCTCCCTGACCTCTTCTGGAGGCATACGAATGACCCAAGTTTTCTCCTTCCGAAAGGATGTGAGGAAAAGGTGAAAAAAGGAGGAAGAAGAGGAAGAAAAGTAAAAGAAATGGAAAACCCCAAACCAAATGAACCTAAAAGTCAAGGCCCCTATATGGCTTAGTTCCTTATGAAAGAAATGAAATTTCCTCTAATTGTTTTTAAGGAACAGAGAATAGAAAGCATAAAAGAGGGCTTTTTGTGCTCTCAGCAACGTGTGACAAGTAAGTATTTCAAACTCAAAATTCCATAGTTACCGAACAACTACTAAATGGCAGGTAAAATACCAAACATTTGGGGGATTTAAAAAATTAGTGAATGGGACTTCCCTGGTGGTGCAGTGGTTAAGAATCCGCCTGCTAATGCAGGGAACATGGGTTCGAGCCCTGGTCCGGGAAGATCCCACATGCCGCGGAGCAACTAAGCCCATGCGCCACAACTACTGAGCCTGTGCTCTAGAGCCCGTGAGCCACAACTACTGAGCCCACGTGCCACAACTACTGAAGCCTGCATGCCTAGAGCCATGCTCCACAACAAGAGAAGCCGCCACAATGAGAAGCCTGTGCACCACAACGAAGAGTAGCTCCCGCTCGCCGCAACTAGAGAAAAGCCTGCGTGCGGCAACAAAGACCCAACGCAGCCAAAAATAAATAAATTTATTTTTTAAAAAAATTAGTGAACAGTTGCAAGAAAGAGTGTGGGAAAGGACTAAAATAAGGACCCAAAATCATAACAACAGAAGAAGTGACTATGATGAGAGCCACATGGAGGGGAAAGCACAGAGCTCATCCAACAGGTCTGTGTTCTAGATGGTGCAGGAGAGGTGAAAGGAGGAAAAGCAGATCTCTTCTCTCTGATCTGGACACTGGGAAAGAAACAAGTAGGACCACACCACTTTCAAGGGCTCCTAGCCAGCAAAAAATACCCATTTCTAGAACAGAGGGGAGAAAAACTGGTGACAAATGATGTAATTCTTTTATTTTAAAATACCTGCCTAAAACCCTACCTCTCATACTGCATATATTGTTACAAAGCTTATCTAAATTACTAAAGTGGCAGTCATATTTTGGCATAATGTATACAGTTATAGTTGGGGACAATGTATGGTTCCAATCATCATCTCAGATAAACAAATGCTAACCTTAAAAACCTGAGCATAATAAGTGAAAGCAAACAGTAGAGTGTGAGTTGGTTTAAACAGTTCTCCCGTCACTAGGGAGGGCAAGGCAAACTATTAGGGAGATAATCTTCATATTAATCTAGTTCTATACTATCCACACGTCATCAAACAGTCTCTGCCACAGATGTAAACATTACATTTGACAATTTACTTAAAAGTCACTGAATAAACAGAAGCAGTCAAATTACTGTCATAATGTAATCGAATGAGGGCTACTCACCAAGATATGAAGTGTATTACCAGGATTTTAAAGTAGGCAAGATGTAGAGTGTTTAGTGATCATCTGGTGATTATCAAAGAATCGCAGGCTTTTAGAGCTACACAAAACATTACAAATCACCTCATCTAATCATCTCATTTACAGGTGAGAGAATTAAGGTCAACTGACTTGTTCAAAGTCAAGTAGATTCCTGGGCACACATCCCAGTGACATTTCCCACCCTTGCATGTAGTTAGACGTGACCCCTGGGCCTGTGAAAGGCCCAGCCCACGCTTTCCGCGTGGCTGCTAAAGTTCTGTTTCTCTAACTGGGAGCTGGACCCTTTGTTCCCATTCCTGGAGCGAACCTCCATGCTCCTTCTGCTTTAGCTCGAAACAGATGGACTTGGAGATACAAATTAATATAAATTAAAGATGGTAGAATCACCAGATAAAAGGAACTTGGGCTCTTGAAGCACTGCGTGGAGGAGAGTTGCCTGGGAGTCACTAACTCCCCTTTGGACTTACTTTGCATTGTGTTAAGTCAATGAAATTTGGGGATTTTATGTGTTACAATAGCTAGAGTTGTCTTAAACAGTATATCTACACATCAACATTTTTTTCCAATAATGGATTGAAGGAATCTTAAATAAATCTTCACAATGAGAATAGCTCTACTATTACTAGCTACGTGACCACTGGCAAGTTACTTAAACTGAGACTCACCTATAGAATGGAGATGATTAGAGTATCCACCTCAGAGTTTTGAATTTTAAATGAGATGGCCGTCATAGATTAGCACAGTGCCTGGGGCGTATGAAATGCTCAATAAACATTAACTATTACGGTTGCCATGTTTCTGCATATTTTAAACATAGCATTTGAAACTTAAAAACAAGCTTTTTCTCCCCATCCTTCATTCTCAGACCTTTAGCTGGACTAAGGCGATGGCAGGAGTCCTCCTTGATCTGTTGTTCTTCTTCCATGATATTTGACATTGGCACGTTGAGGCTAATGGCGTCTTCATCAGAAGGCTGAAAAGAAACAGGACACTGCCTCATTCAAGGGAGAAGTGTTATCAACATAGATTAAGAGAACGCTACGTAATTAAAAAATATATATACTGTGATTCTCACAAACATAATACGGACTAAAAGACACCAAAGGACAATGCCACTTATATAAGTTCAAACATGGGCATAAATAATCCACGGTGTTTGAAGTCAGGATAGCGGCTGCTCTTAGGTTAGGGGCGTGGGCACATGATGGGGGCTTTGTGGGCGGCTGGTAAAGTTCTGTTTCTCTAACTGGGAGCTGGTAATGAGTGCGTTCACTCTGTCAAAATACATCAAGCTAACACTCACGTGCTTCTCTGTACATATGTTTCGAGCTGAAATTTTTTCAGGTACCTGATGATATTTTCAAACCTAAGAGCCACAGTCAGGGCACTGAGAAGGACTGAGTAACGCCTGAGAGAACAAAGAAATAACTGGAAATACACTACCATACCAGCCCTAAGTCTAATCGATCGCTTCAATAGTAATGGTGCTCTGAGATCTGACAACACAAATTTACCGAAACTATATTAAGGCTTCATGTGGCCAGTCCCAGAAAGCAGGCAGTCAGCCTCTGGGACAACATCTCATTTATTTACACTGCATCTTACACGCAACATCAAGCTTCAGTTTATTTCCCTGTTTAGGCTGTGGAAGCTGCTTTAAACATATAAGAAGCTGCTTTAAATAGATAATATAGAGTACTTAAAAGGAACAGGGGATCTGTGCAGTTTTCAGAATAATGCTTCGATTTAGTAATCAGAGTTAGTTCTCCCTGGGGGTCTTGTTTCCCACACTAACTGATGAAGTTTATTCAGATAATCTATGATTCTGTCACAAATGAAATATGAAGCCTCATTTATTTTCCTATGTCTCCGTTTTAGCGTCGCTATTTCACGAAAAGCTTTTCAAAATCACAGGGATCAGGAACCTCCACAGAGCACGTTTCTGTGGCTTTGCTTCTAAACTCCTGAGGCTATAATTTTTCACAGCACAGTGTTCATTTACTTTTGGACACGTGCACAGATTGTTCAGAAACTGGCAGAAAACAAATGTACATTTCATTCGTTGCACAGCTATTAACTGAGCCTCACATTTTTTTGCTTGTTTATCAGAGTGACAAATGCTAAATCAACCAATGGCAACAGCGAGAGAAAGGAATCAGGTGTGACTTCTGAACCCCACAATGAGACGTAAGCAGGAAGCAAGGCTGACTGACCACAGATAATAAAATATTTGCCAAATAAAGTGAAAACAGAAAGCTACACAGAATAATCCAGAACCCTTATCCTTATAAAAAAAAAACATTTCTAGGAGGTGTTCTCAGGTAAGGAGGCCACAATGCAAGACAAAAAAAAAAAAAAAAAAGCCAAAGGGAAAATGTACACACTTCATTCTGTTGAACATAATCCTTTCTGTAGTCCTTCCTTCCACCCTCCTCCCATCTTAAAAACTTATTAGCAAAATTCCAAGATATGCATCTAGTTAAAAGGAAGAAAATAAACCCTTGGCCTCCTTTTAGAATATTAGCATCCTACTTATACTAAGTGAGAACAAAAGGATAATGAAGTTCTTTGTGTAATGTTTTATTAATGAACTTAATTATCCTTAGAAGGCAGATAAAGGATAAAGCAGAGTCTGTTTTAATTTAACAGAAAATAAGCTCGGGTGAGTAATTTCTGAAACAAAGGGCTATTTCAGGGGACTTACGAGTTTCAATAAAGTTAAGGGAGTAGAATTAAATACAACTTGTAAAGCAATGTGTTGAGTATTTTCTCCCCCAGGGAATCATAGTAAACTATTCATGTAGGTTCATGAGGGTAATTTTACTTTATTGATACTGGCCTTCTTTTTCTGCCTACTACTCTTCTTCCTTTTGAAATGTTCTGTATTAGAAAGTTTTTAAGGTATCCTAGTGCTTTATGAAGTATTTTGTGGAAAATAAATTCGAATATCTTAGCTACATATTAAACCTCAAAGGCCTTAAGAGAACAGGGAAAAGGCAATTTTCCTGGACTTACATATAGTAAAAATGTGGATTTCTTAGACAGGGTAATTGACCTACTAAGTACATCTTCAAAGAGTATTACAATGTTTCAAAACTCAATAACCACAAAAACTCAGTAAGTTCCCTCAAAAAAGGAAGGCCTGATAATACATACATCCTCTACTCCTGCTATCCCTCCTAGCTCTGCTGGTCAATAAACCCCATTTAATGGTTTATTAGTGAAAGATTTTACAGAACCTAACAGACTATAAATAAGATAACAAATGTTCTAATTGAGCTATATATAACCACTTTACAAAGCTCCAGTGTGGGAGGCCTCTTAGCTCACAAATAACCAAACTTATATCCAATTATCTGAAAACAACACAATCTAAGAATTTCAGGAAAACAAATATTGATATAAAAATTATGGCTACTCAAAAATGCATTTCCTGTGGGTAAAATGCAATGTACATTTATAGAGGGAAGCAGCCGCATAGCACAGGGAGATCAGCTCGGTGCTCTGTGACCACCTAGAGGGGTGGGATAGGGAGGGTGGGAGGGAGACGCAAGAGGGAGGGGATGTGGGGATATATGTATATGTATAGCTGATTCACTCTGTGATACAGCAGACACTAACACACCATTGTAAAGCAATTATAATCCCATAAAGACGTTAAAAAAAAAAGGCAATGTACATTTGATTCCTTAACATTTATGCAGGCATATAACAACTTTTTCCTAAGTTACTCTGTCACTTAAAAACAAACATTTATAAAAATGCCTTCCGGGTTCTTGCACACCACTTAGTCATTTTATAATATTTATTAAGCATGCAAGAATATTCCAGATAATGTGAGGGGTGTGGTAGGAGGGGAAGGAGATAGGGACTCTATTCTTGAGACATTTCCAAAACATTAAAGATTCAGAAAAAGCTAACAACAGTTAATATTTACATAACAGAGGATTTCAAATAACTTTCACAAGCATTATCACACGTTCTCATGCAACTGCCTTTTATCCGAAAGGAGTACAGCGAATGCAGGTAGATATATATAGAAGCACAAAAGGAAAAAAATCTGATCACGAATTTACCTCTGTGGCAGATAATCGCTTGTCTCCATTATCACTCCCAACGCCCGAGTCAGAATCCTTCTTGCTGGGTTAGATGCCATCGATATTGAATTCATTTAGAAAAAATTAAAATCACAAAGTTCACAACAAGAGACATCAACTTATATTCAAATAATGACTTTACTAAACAAATTTTTATTATTACCAAAAGACAACAAATACGCCCAGTATTGAAGGTTGTTAAGACAAGGGCCTAATGAAAATCAGATACTTGTACCGTCTAAATATGGTACAAGATAAATTCTTTGTGTTCAGAGTTTCATGGATTTATACTCTACCTGAGTGGCCCGTTCTTTGAAACAGTTAATAATTTTCTTATTTTATTGATTCTAGCATATGAAAAAGCAAAAACTACCAATTGCTTTTACCTCTTAGGTTATGAAATTTCCTAACTTTCAATAATTCTGTAAACTTGTATTCAGTGACTAAATAAATTTGATAGTATGTTTAAAACAATAAAGTAATGAATACATATTTTAAGCATTATATAAAGGTACCATTAGGGTAGGCTGAGATTTTAAGTCACTACAGTATATTTACTTTTTTTAGTAAAAAGTTCAAGAAAGATTTCTGCAATGAAGACATTTCAAAAACAACCTGCATTTCTACAAGTGTGTTCAGTGTGAGAATTTTGTTCTCCGAAAATTCAAAATGGTTTACACCACAAAATGGCCAAGGACATGTTAAACGATTCTACAACTTCCATTCTGAACAGGAAATGGCAAAAACTATGCACAGTGCATTTTTAAAAGACAATTAAAAAAAATAAAGTCTGCATTTTTTCTTAACAATGTTCTGGAAGCATATTAAAAATTAACTTAAAAAACCATGTCTCTAACACAACACTGTAAATCAACTATACCCCCAAAAATTTTTTTAAAAATACAACAAAAAACCATGTCTCAGTTTGATGTGGTTGTTTTAAATGATAGGTAAAAAATACATATATTTATATTATAGATCTTATTTATAATATGTGCACACACATATGTTGCACTCAGGAAGGACTGATTCTTGATTAGGAGAGGGTAGATGAAACCTGAAAGATGCCAAAATGTTATCAACAGCATCAATTTTCCCTTTTTTATTCCAAAAGTGTTCGAGACTCTGATGTATAAATCTGCATTGGCTGAGTGAAACAAAAGGATTTTTGGAGTTAGTTACCTGGAGCGCCTTGGCCTAAGCAAACTCTAAACGGGGGCTTCTAGCCGAGGGGGGTCACACTCACCCGTCTTCCACGTGCTGGTGTAAATGTGGCCTCTCCATGGTGTGGAGATAAAGGGAGTCGGTTGTCTTAATCTGGCATGCTTGGATGCTGAGATACTTAAATATGTGCACTTTGCCCTTGGTGCATATCTATGGAGAAATTAATAATATATATATTTTTAACGGCAAAACAAAATGTAAACACTAGACATCTCACTCTGTATAATTTAGTTTTTGCATTTTCACTTTAAGTAACACGTCAACGATGACCACCAAATTTGACCTCTCCAAAACAGGTAAGATCTTAGGCAATCATTTCCTCCAAATTCTACTTCAATAGAAAACCATGTTCAAGAGATTTCTAGTTTCTCTCGCACTAAACCGCAAAATTCTAAGAGAAATACGTTTAAGTATAAATAGTGTAAAACATATATACGTCAGATAACTAACCTGGTAACGTTCCAATTCTGAAAGCATATACACTTCATTCTGTTCTCACATAGTTTAATATTTGAGCTTGAATCTTGTCTCTAAATGACTGACAATATTTTAAAATGGTTAAACTCTAGTTTCCAGCTAACTTCAATGTAAGGAATCTATTACTCCTTTTGTAATCCATACACTCCATGAAAAAATTTCAAATGCATGTACAAAATGATAAACATAATAACTGAATAAGTGAAATCATCAAACATCATCATTCTGGGATTGCAGTGACCAGACAGTGGGGCAAATGGTGGGAAACGATTTTGATGTCACAGAAGACAACATACTGTAGTCAGATTCACACGAGGTTTCATTTTTTAAGAGATTGTGACTGTTTATGATCGTATCCATACATTAATTCTGCAAAATATCAACAAACCAGTTCTGCTGAGAGTTGCTTAGATGCTATTGATAGTCTATCCCCCCGGCAACAGCTTTGCTGTGAGACCCCCTCACCTGTGCTGGAGGAGACTGCAAAGGGTTATTCTCAAGCAGTAATACTTGCAGCTGCTTCATCTCTCTAAAACAAATGGGAATCACGAGCACTTTATTGCAGGAAAAGTCAAACTTTACCAAGGGAAGATCTACTAGTTCTAAAAGAACAGAAAAAAAAAAAAAAGAAAGAAAGAAAAAAAAAAAACTCAGAAAGCAACAAGATTAAATGGCTAAACACATTCAAAAATTTTCTGCTTATCTGGAAATATATCATTTAGCATAATTAAAACCAAGTTGTGCGTTAGGAATATAAGTTATGCATATATAATACTTAACTAAAGAGGAGAGGAAAGCTTTCATCGGGGGCCCAACAATTTTTAATTTGTTGTTATTTCTGATATGAGCTGGAAACACTTGACATATATAACACCTATTGTTTAAAAAGGCTTTTTTTCCAGTGAAACAATCACATAAGCCACACCACACAAGATATGCTTATGTTTTAACTTCAAACTGTTTTCAAACAGCTTGCTACCTTATGAATAATATGTTAATTACAACATATTCTTATGCATTCCATGTATGTGGGCTGGCAGAATCTCTCAGAACGAATTACTAGAAATATGTTCTTGATTGTTTAACTCCACTTTAAAAAAGAAATGCTATCAAATTTGGAACTTTGCAACAGACCCTGTAATCCTGATTTGATTAGGCTTTATTCTACTGCTTTAAAAAGGTCTTCTGTAGCTCCACAAACAAGACAGAACATTATATTTAGCTTAAAATCCCCACCCAGTGGCATAGCAAACACTCAGTAATTTCAAGTATTCCAACCGACATTGGCAGCTGCAAGAAACGAAGTCAAATATATTCCATAGAGCAAAGACGCTGAGCAATGCCAGAGTAGGGTGACACGGAGCAAACCACCAAGATCTCCATGTGAGAGGCTATGGAGGGTTCATTTCAGAACAGGCCTCACGTTTGTTATGAAACCTGGTAAGGGAGGATACACGGTGCTTTCAAATACTCAAGGAATTCCCAAGCAGATGAAGGGCAGGGACTATAGGAAGAAGAGGATCAGAAAGCAGTGACCTGTAGAAAGAATTCATACTATCCCTCCGCTCCCCCTGTACTGCTGGAGGGTTTTCACGTTACTCAGCTAGACTACTTCATGTTCCCCCAACAAAGGTTCACTTAGCAACCAGTCTCTGCAAATTCAACTCGCTCTGGGTGTGGAAGGGACTTTCCTTCTTTCATACCTTAGTGAACTACTTTGTATTAGAGAAAAGAGTCATGAGATTGAAATGCAAGGACAAAGACACAGGAGCATCAGCTCAGCAGCTCCCAAACTCAGGTCCATGATAGGCAGGCGGCTGTGTAACAGAAACTCAGGATGTGTCTTTTTAAATCTTTTTTATTGAAGCATAGTTGATTTACAATGTTGTGTTAGTTTCAGGTGTACAGCAAAGTGATTCAGTTATACATATATATGTGTATATATATTCTTTTTCAGATTCTTTTCCATTATAGTTTATTATAAGATATTGAATATAGTTCCCTGCCAGGTCTTTATTGTTTATCTATTTTATATATAAGTGTGTATCTGCTAGTCCCAAACTCCTAATTAATCCCTCCCCCTCTTTCCCCTTTGGTAAGCATAAATTTGTTTTCTATATCTGAGTCTGTTTCTGTTTTGTAAATAAGTTCATTTGTATCATTTTTTAAGATTCCACATATAAGTGATATCACATATTATTGGTCATTCTCTGTCTGACTGACTTCACTTGGTATGATAATCTCTAGGTCCATCCATGTTGCTGCAAATGGCATTATTTCATTCTTGTTTATGGCTCAGTAGTATTCCACTGTGCGTGTGTGTGTGTGTGTGTGTGTGTGTGTGTGTGTGTGTATACACGTTACATCTTCTTTATCCATTCATCTATTGATGGACATTTAGGTTGCTTCCATGTCTTCGCTATTGTAAACAGTGCTGCTATGAACATTGGGGTGCATGTATCTTTTTGAATTGGAATTTTCAAATTAGAATTTTTGAATTCTTATTCAAATTGGATGTGTATTTTTTAAATTGCCCCAAGTAATTCTCTGCTCAAACTCAGCTCTCCCACCAATAGTGGGATAAGTGATTTGCCTCAGGTCTCACTTGTCCTGGTTGCCTCGAAGAAGCACATGGAGAGCAGTGGGAGATGAAGAGAGGAGGTGAAGCCAGAGGATGGCATGGAATCAAGAAAGTTAAAGGGAAAGGGAAAGTAAGATCTTTCCAGTTAATAGTTTGTTTTGAAAACAGGGCTGAGAATTAGGGGGACTGTATGTAAAAAGAGTATCTCCTTGTTAGAACTTCCAGTAATATGAATCCATCTCTCCGATGGCTAACTTGACTCCCTCAAGTTAGGCTGGCAAATCAGGGGTGATTGCTTTTCAGCAATTTGCCACTTAAAATGAAGACTTTTAAGCAAGACTAGAGAGCTAAGTGCTTGGAAGACACAGCAGGAGGGGAAGGAAGGCGACTTACAGTTAAATAAAGTAAGAAATGGTTTTTATAATGACAATTCCTTTTAGTGCCTGTTGGGGACACAATTACCATCTTAGTTTAGGAAAGCTAGAATCTGACATTTTCACAACAAGGAAACAAAGGAGAAAATGATAACTCCAGCTCAGAAAAAGCCAAAGAGAGAGAGCAGGAGAAAAGGGGTAAGAGAAAAGAAAAATGAATCCCACTCCTCTTTCTCCATTGCAAAGAGGGGCAATGAATGACTACTTTAATGCTCTGTCCATTCCGGTGCCAGGAAGAACAAAATAGAGTCTCCCTGTTGCATTAGTTGTAGTATAACCACCACAAGATTGATGTGGGCAGTTAGGCCACAAACTTTTTCCCCCTCCTCAAACTGAAAGCATATGAGGAGGGGTACTAAAGAGGAAAAACAAGTGAGTAAATATGAAAAGTCTTTAAATTCACTGCCTGAGAGCATTATCAATGCTCTTTTGTTAACAGAGTTCTCCAGAGTAAAGCAAAAAGAAACTTGATATTCAGGAAATTATTTTTTTTTAAAGAAGGTTTTCCAGTAAACTGACGTTTTAGCTCCGAGTGTATATTAAAATATTAAGCCTGAGAAAACATAATTATGAAAAGTATAGAAATTTGTGAGTGATCTTTTTAGGAGAAGGAATGTTTTTAAGTTAAGCGAGCAACGAGTGGTGAGAGAAACAAGTATCTTGATTTTACAGATGCACTTTCTTCCCACATGTTTCTAAGCCATTACAGGAAACACTTAAATGATTAAATTAAATTTTTCTTTTGAAAACAAGAGTTCAATAATTTGTGATGACCTCTCAATAATTAACCTAAGAGCTTAAATTTAGATGAAAGTTTTCTTTAATGTTATGAAAGGCTGTATGATTATAAATTTGCTGTTAGTAAGAGTTTTCTCTTTATACTTGCTCAAACCAAGAAAAACAATTTCATCCATTCAGAACTGGAACCGCACAATGAAAAAATGAAAAATCAATGTTTTTATACCAAGTCATCTCAAGTAATAAAGTAATAAATCTTCAGGCCGAGATAGTTTCTAACTCTTCTTCTTTAAATACTAGCCAGCACGAGAAAGGTGAAGACGGCAGATAACACTTAAAACTCCCATCTATAGGGCACATTACATGTTATAAAGTTCTTTCCTTTTCTTGAGCTGCATTTTCTTGCCTTGAATAATGAAGCACTTCAAACCAAAGATCATGAAGCAGGAACAGAATAATAAAAATCAGGCAGCTCTCAAATAGCTGCATTAGAGTCAGATTAGCCAAATGCTGACTGTTCCCAAATCTACCCTTTAGCTTATCAGGTACCCTAATGTGCTTCAATGAAAATGATAGAAACCAATGTGACCTCTGAGAACCAGAGGATGTTTCGGAGAAAGCATACAGTGTCCTGCTGCTCATCAACTCATTCCTGAGTAGGTCCAAACGAGGATCCCAAAATGTGAAATTCAGATCCAGCATGATCTACAAGGCTACTTATTACCATTCTTAAAGGTATAACATTTCTGAATAAATATATCTTTTTTTTTTTTTTTTTTTTTTGCCGTATGTGGGGCTCTCACTGTTGTGGCCTCTCCCGTTGCGGAGCACAGGCTCCAGACACGCAGGCTCAGCGGCCATGGCTCACGGGCCCAGCCGCACCGCAGCATGTGGGATCTTCCTGGACCGGGGCACGAACCTGTGTCCCCTGCATCGGCAGGCAGACTCTCAACCACTGTGCCACCAGGGAAGCCCTGAATAAATATATGTTTCTTATTTTTAATTTATTTTTGTTTTATTGAAGTACAGTTGACTGACAATTTTTTTTTCTGGCTGCGCTGCATGCGGGATCTTAGTTCCCCAACCAGGGATCGAACCCATGTCTCTTGCAGTGTAAACACGGAATCTTAGCCACTGGACGGCCAGGGAAGTCCCTGATAATTTTTTTATTGAATATCTTTTTATTTTAACTTCAACGCAACATATCAGAGGCACACACTATGGAAGCCCAGAGCTGCAGGGAAGGGTTTGCCCGTGTTTGGCTCCTGGGTGGGGCTGTGTGAGGGGCTCAGTGTTTGTGCCGAGTCTCAATGCTGAGGCTCTGGAGCCATCCTTGCTCCAGGCTTCAAGAAATTCATCAAAACAACCAGTGGTGTCAGCCCAAGCTTCACTTCAGCAAAGGCATGCCCTCGCCTGAAGCACGGATTCGAGACACTCAGGGCTCCCGGTCAGGGCTCCCAGATCCCCAAAGCCCCAAACCCTGACTTCTGGGTCTGCAGGACCAAGTGCAGCAACTAACTACTGGCTGGATGTTCCGGGACATCCACGTCCATCCATACCAAAAGCAATTCATGTTGCCTCCTGTTAGGAGCTGAATTGTGTGCCCCCCAAATTCATATGTTGGAGCCCTGACCCACAGTACCTCAGAATGTGACTGTATTTGGAGATAGGGTTTTTAAAGGGTAAATGAGTTAAAATGGGGTCATTAGTGTGGGCCCTAATCCAGTATGATGGGTGTCCTCACAAGAAGAAGAGATTAGGACACAGACACAGAGGGAAGATGCAGGGAGAAGACGGCCATCTACAAGGCAAGAAGAGAGGGCTCAGGAAAAACCAAACTGAGCAACACTCTGATCTCAGACTTCCAGCCTCCAGACTGCGGGAAAATACATTTCTGTTGTTTAAACCACTCAAGTCTGTGGTACTTTGTTATGAGAGCCTGAACAAACTTAATACACACACATACACACACACACAGCTTTATACAGGAGTATGATTTTGTTACTGAACCCCTGACTAAAATTACAACTTGAATATAACTTTTCTGATATCAGCACATGAAATTCAAATTATAATTAATATTAATAGGCACACACAAACATGACTAGAGCTACCTTCTTCACAAAGGTAAACAAAAAATAATAAAAGCCTCCTGTTTGATTGATTCATTTTTCCTCTTTCTTTTTTTACCTTGTGGTAGAACTTTAAGGTAATTTCTTCTGACATTCAGTTCTCGTAGGGATTTCAGTTGCCCTATCTGCTGAGGCAAGGCTGTGATCTCATTGCAGCTGACGTCCTGCATTGAAAACAAAGAGGGAAACAGTAAACGCCTTTTGCCGGGAGATCAAGCATTTCATGTGAAATCTCCTTACGGAATTTAAATATTAGGACAACTACACAGGGACATTTTTATATTGGTCTCCGGGTCCGAGGTCAAGTGAGGCTTATTAGCACAGAGAAGAAAAAAGAAAGTGCAACATTTAAAACATCCTCTGAGAGAAAACGGAGAAAAGAAGCCTTTTCTGTTAGTAGCCTTCGGTAGCTACTCTGCCAGCCTCGAGGGCTGCTGTTCTCGCATGCTTCAGTCTTATTTCTCACAACAAACCCATGAGGTAATATTACTGGCCTAATATTCACAGATTAGAACACCGAGGCTCAGGAAAGTTCAGTCGATTGTCCAAGGCTTGCAAGTACCAGGGTTAACACTTGGAACAAATTTCCAGCCGACCGTTCAGCCACTACCTTACCTTACAAAATGCCCATAGTTTACAGTGTATACCTATATATATTACGGCACTGTTTGGATGCACTATTTATTTAAAATGGAGTTCTTAAGCAGAAGGCTGGAAACTTTGGACCTGAACACCTTTACAAACATTTTACAAGCAAGACTGTGGGGTATGTGGACTGTGTCTTCTTTGCTTTGGAAAAGTAATACTCTATTAGTAGTCATTGATGGGAACCACCTCTTGACACATGCAAAATGGTGGCCATGACATTTTTAATCTTCTGTATCATTATTACCTCCCCTAACCCCACTCTTCCTCTTGTCCCTAGTAGTTCTGTCCTGCTCTCCACCTCCCTTACCCCAGCCACTCCGTTAGTCCAGACCAGCAGTATCTCTCAGCTAGACACTATAATGATCTTCTGGTTGTTTCCAGGCATCAATCTCCTCCTCGGTTCCATCCTTCACAGAGTGAAGATTTACAGAGTGTGAATTTCACTCTATCATTCATCAGCTCAAACACCTGCAACGGCTCCTCAGGATAAAGTCCCAAACTCAAATCTGCTCAAATGTTTGCCTTCTCCTGTGGGCCTGTGAGCTCCTAGATGGAAGACACTGTGTCTTAGTCACTCTGCCTCCTGTGCTGAGCAGAACGCCAGGTATAAAGTAAGGGATCAGGGGCTTCCCTGGTGGCGCAGTGGTTAAGAGTCCGCCTGCCAATGCAGGGGACACAGGTTCGAGTCCTGGTCCGGGAAGATCCCACATGCCGCGGAGCAACTAAACCCGTGCACCACAACTGCTGAGCCTGACCTCTAGAGTCTGTGCACCACAACTACTAAACCCGCGTGCCACAACTTCTGAAGCCCGCGTGCCTGGAGCCCATGCTCTGCAACAAGAGAAGCCACCGCAATGAGAAGCCCGCACACTGCAACCAAGAGTAGCCCCCGCTCGCCGCAACCAGAGAAAGCCCGCGCACAGCAACGAAGACCCAACGCAGCCAAAAATAAATAAATAAAATAAATTTTAAAAAATAAATAAATAAAGTAAGGGATCAATAAATATTGGATAAGACTTCTGAAATCCATTTATGTTGATGTTCCATAATGTACAGTTTATTCTGTCTCTGGCTGGGAGCCCAAGAGGCTCCAACATACACACCATATTTCTTGCAGGCCTTGCTTGGTGTCACAGAACCACAAATATATTTGGGCCACAAATGATCCCAATGAGATCAAGTCCTTAAACATCCCACATCACTGATGAACCTGCAAAAACTCCCCTTCACTCATCCTCTTAGAAAGCAGCAAAGCCTTGTTTCAGAAACTGGTTTCATATTCACTCGGATGAGAACTCACCATTGACCAATTCTTTGAAACCTCTGTGCTCCATGTTAAGAGCAAGGCTGTACAGAACACAGTGGATCACTGCCCTCTAACCTCATCTCATTTACATATTCCTCAGGTGACTTGCCAATCTGTCAAGGTCATGAAGGCGCTAAATGGATATCACTTGATGAAGAGGAATAACATCGCTCCTATTAAAGGAAACGAAGCTGTGATCTGTAAAGCCTGGGTGTACGCATTGGAATCAGCCCGCCATACTGTTCCATACTCAGCTGTCTGACTTGGGGGTGGGGCAGGGGGCTGGCGCGTGACAGGTTAAGGACATTAGGTGTTCAACGGCATCTGCCTGTCTGAATATACTTCCACATATGAGAAGTGAAAAGTAAAATGCCACCTTTTCCCAGTTACTGTGGCATTTCATCAGCCACAAAAGTCAACAACCAAACCCTTTCAATGAAAGTTTTATCTTTCTTTGCTTCCACCAAGTTACCGATAAGCAAGAGGTACCATTTTAAAATCTAAGAGTCCTCACACAAATGGTACACAGGTAAGCCCTAGAAATATAGGAAATTAAATCATTTTATTGGACTCAGGGCCAGGCACAGTCATCTTGGTGATGGCTGAGAGGAGGGGAGGTCATGGGAGAAGAATTAGTGAGAATTATTTTCCACCTCTAAGGAGAATTTATGTTGACACCTAAAATGTTTTATAAGTCCGCGAGTGATAGCATGAGAAAGACCCTTTTGCAGATTACGGGAATCACGTACTGATGATTTTCAGAAGTTTTAAGGACATAATTAAAAAAAGAACATTTCTCTTAAAAAAAAGAGAGGTGGGAGAGGAAAACTAAAAGAGAACTGATATATTTAGGCAGCATAGTCTCACCATGAAATCTCCTGAGATGAAATGCATCTTTATTCTATTTTTTTCCTGTGTACTACACTCACCTTGCACGTTGTTGATTAACCCCAGCTAGCCATGAAATTAAGAGTACGCTGTTTCCATAAATATAAGGTAATTTTTCCAACATATATTTCTAAATGGCCTTATCAAAGAAAAGAGACTCCCCTGAGCTATATTTGAACACTTGTTTACCTGCAGGGAAAGTGCTTTCCTAATTTATTTTTTTTAAAGAACTTCACATAATGATAAAACAAGTTTTTCCTTCTAACTTACAAGACAGGACATCTGTAGACAATTAGAAACATAAAGCCCAATTGTCCATTCACATTTTGAAGGGTATATGGCGAAGGTCAAATTATTTTAATAGTACTCTGCACTGCTTTCAGTTACTTCCTGTCCTGCCAAAATAATGAGGGAAAAAGCAAGATAAAGACTTTTCACTCTTGTATGATCAATATTGCAGAAAACTGTGCAACCTCAATGCCCTCCCAGCTACTGAACCTTGCCAAGTTTTAAAAAGGTTATGAATTTCATCATAAATAAAACCCCATAGGTAATTATGTCTTAATTAGTTGGGAATGAGGAGGAGGACAGAGAGGAAAATAGTCTAGATGTTTTCAGATAACGTATTTCAGGTTAAAAAGTGTAAAAGCAACATTCCTAGAATAGCCTGGTTCTCTATAACATGTCTGTCCACATTTAGTCTAAAAGAAATAATGGCTTTTTTTGGGGGGGGGGGAGTTCATTTAAAAAAGATATGATTTAGGAAAATAAATTTAAAAAATAAACAACATTAGTGCCCCATATTTCTGCAATACTGAGAATTTATCAAGCTATGAGTTCCAGATCCAGTAACTTCTTAGAATAGTCAAATGAATCCCTTCTGAATGGTCTATTAGCCCTAAGCTATGTCTTGGAAAATAATTATTCCAAACTACAGTGAAATCAAATTACCATATATTCAGCATTATAAAGTTATAAATATACAGGTAGGCCCAATTCTATTGTTTGATACAGAAATGAATCTAATCATTATGCATTATATAATCACATAAATACTCACAAACTTAAGTTTTATGAACCAGCCAGTCTAATTTTGTCATTTAGATAAAAAAAAACAAAATAGAGAATTTTAGCTATGACTTAAAATACACTTATTTTCCACTGGTTTAATCAAGATGCTTTTAAGCAACCAAAAGAAAAACTTTAGAAGTTAAGATTCTCATTTCATCACAACTCTTCTGGGCAACTAAAAAGGTCTCTAGAAGGGTTAAACGCATGTTGGAGATAAATACATTTTAGCTGACTGACTGCTAATTGCTACCTTACCTTCAGAATGCAAAAATGACAAGGATTTAAAACAACAGCATAGGTTCAAGGATTATTAAACTAGGAAATGTCCACTTTCAGAATATATTTTTTAAAAGACTAGACATGCTTTCTTAAGTCGTGACTTCTAATGAAAGCCAACATAACTACTGCGTCAAGATGATCTTGGTTAGAGAAGGTTTCCAGTAAGACCAGGCTAAGCGGCAGAACTGCACATGGTATTCTATGAGCTACCTTCCCCTGACTCTTAAGTTTTCAGAAACTTAGCGTGGTTATACTACAGCTTAAGTCGTATTTTAAAATCTACCTCTTGGGCTTCCCTGGTGGCGCAGTGGTTAAGAATCTGCCTGCCAGTGCAGGGGACACGGGTTCGAGCCCTGGTCCAAGAAGATCCCACATGCTGTGGAGCAACTAAGCCCATGAGCCACAACTCCTGAGCCTGTGCTCCAGAGCCCACAAGCCACAACTACTGAGCCCGCATGCCACAACTACTGAGCCCGTGCGCCTAGAGCCCGTGCTCTGCGACAAGAGAAACCACCGCAATGAGAAGCCCGCGTACCACAACGAAGAGTAGCCCCCGCTCGCCGCAGCTAGAGAAAGCCCACGTGCAGCAACCAAGACCCAATGCAGCCCAAAATAAAATAAATTTATTTTTAAAAATCTACCTCTTTATTTAATTGAAGAAAATGCAAGCGTTCTAACAGGAAATATAAGCTATTAATACTGGCCTCCCATCATGTGAGCATGTCCATTTTTGGAAATGTCTTTTGTATGACTCAGTGTAACTTTAGGTAAATATCTTAACCTCTCTGTTCCTAGGTAAAAAGAAGAGGTGAGATTATAAATAATTCCAATTTCCTTCCAACATCAGGAAAATCCATCTACCATATCAAAAATAATGAAGAGATTTTGTTTGAAAGATAGATACTTAACTCACTTAGGAGTAATGTCAATTTTGATTTTTCAGCAATCAAAAACCTAAATGCCTGTAATGAG